CAACATTTTACTAGTTAGCCACTTTTTGATAACTTTCACAGAAAATGAGATATATAGGCTCAAAGTGGACGATCCGGGTGTCGTTCTATTAGAGGTTTTACGGCATTTCTAAAATTTCGACCACTAGTTCAAAGATATCCCAAATACTTTGGAAGTCCTGTTTCCAAACACTTCTGAAGAAAAATCTTCTATCTGGTCTTCTCCAAATTAGAAAAAAGAAGAAAAAGAAGAAAAAGATCCCATCAAGCCCCAAAAAAGTGACAACTGTCTCCAAAAGGAGTACATATTGTGTCAATATTGGTCTAGCTTGCTTCTTCTTCTTCTTCTTCTTAGCCATCTGATTGGCTAATTGACAGTCTCAATTAGTGATGGTGGGGACCCTCCCGAAAAGAGCAAATATTGTCCCCGGGGGGTCTCTAGCACCTGGTAAGGAGAAGAAAAACAAGAAAATCTCTCAATTGCCCGCAAAAAAGGTAACAGTAGTATAACAGTTAAGAGATATATAGAATAAGGAGAAGAAGAAGAAGAACGGTCGGATGGGAAAAAGAAAAAGAAGAAGAAGAAGAAGAAAACAAAACGGAAAAGAAGAAGAAGGCGGGTGGAGTCAAGGCCAAGTGGGGTGGGGGTCCATATCTAGGAAAAGAAGGGGGTGGGAAAAGTGGGCGGGGCTTGAAAAGAAGAAAAGTATTGGACAAGGGGTTATGAGAAAGTTTGAAAAAAAAATCGAAGATTTTAGAGAGGTTTTGGGTCTAGATCCCGAAACTTTGAAATTGGTCTCTCCAGAATCTGGAGAAGGCTACATCTGGAGAAGAAAAAGCAATTTTTTGAAAAAAAAAAGATTGGAGAAGAATTTCCAAGATGTTTAGAACATTTTTGGTTTAGATCCCATAACTTTGAACATGGTCCATCCAGAATCTAGAGAAGACTGAATATGGAGAAGACTGAATATGGAGAAGAAAATGAGATTTCGCTTCAAAAATGTTAGAAAAAGGGTTTCCAAGATGTTTAGGACATTTTTGAACTAGATTCATTTTGTTTGGACATGGTCCATCCAAAATCTGGGGAAGGCTGAATCTGGAGAAGACCGAATATGGAGAAGAAGAAGAGTTTTTTCTTCAAAAATTTTTGGGAAAAGATTCCCAAAATATTCCAGACATTTTTGAAGTAGATTTGATAAGTTTAGGTATGGTCCATCCAAAATCTGGAGAAGACTAGATTCGGAGAAGACCAAATTTGGAGAAGAAGAATACATTTTTCTTATCCATATTTTTTTCTCACTTGATCTACTAGTTTTTCTTCTAATTTCGACCTTTTCTGTCACTTTTTTTTTCTTCTTCTTCTTCTTTTTCTATATTCAGAGAAGGAAAAAGAAGAAGAAGAAGACCTTGATGAACATCATTCCAATAAGAGAAATTGATGAATGAATCATTGAAAATCAAAAGAATACCGCAAAATTTATGGTTTTCATAATTTGGAGAAGTGGAAGGAAAAGAAGAAGAAGGATTCAGAATCCCCGTTCAAAAAATCTGGTTCTGACGTTTTTAATATTCCTAGATTAGGCACAATTTTCTTATTTCCATAGCGTCAAAACAAACCAAAAAAATAATTTTCTTCTCCAGATTTGGTCTTCTCCAAATCTGGTCTTCTCCAGATTTTGGATGGACCAATTCCAAAATTTGAAAATCTAGTTCAAAAATGTCCTAAATATCATGGAAGTCTTTTTTCCAATTTTTTTTCAAAAAATTTTCTTCTTCTTCTCCAGGTTCCGCCTTCTCCAGATTCTGGATGGACCATTTTCAAAAATCCTAAATCTAGTTCAAAAATGTCCTAAATATCTTGGAAGTTTTTTACCAATATTTTTTTTTGCAAAAATCTCTTCTTCTTCTCCAAATTAGGTCTTCCCCAGATTCTGGATGAACAAATTCAAAATCAACATTTC